TAACTTTCGCCTACAACACTGCACAGCACAAAACAACGAGATACAGTCCATTTTATCTGCTCTACGCACGTCAACGCCGCACAGCTCTTGACACTATCCTTCCTTTTTCCGAGACTGATCAACCTGCTCTCGCCCAAACCATTTGCCGCGCAGAAGAGGCCCGGCGCATCGCCTGTCTTCGAACTTTCCTCTCACAGAAACGCTCCAAGAACCGTTACGACAGAAGTCACCGGCACGTATGGTTTGAGAAAGGAGATTTGGTGTGGCTTTGGACGCCGCTTCGCAATCGTGGCCTCTGCCAAAAGTTTCTGGCCAACTACACCGGTCCGTTTGTTGTTTTGGAACGTCTCAGCGATGTCACGTACGTGATATCTCAGCTGTTGTCAACTGGCCGCCGCTCAAGCAAGGCCAACGTCGTTCATGTTGCCCGTCTAAAACGCTATCATCATCGCAACGAAGCCTAACTCGCCTGGTGGGCATCGTCTGCAAAGAGGGAATTGCTACGATACTGAGGGGGCGCGTGGAAGAAGAGGAGAACGAGGTTGGCACGAGCGGTGATCGGACAAGTAAATCTACCAGTGATTTTATCACTTGGCGGAACTTCATTTGGTTACTGCCACAGGGATGTATGCTCCGCTGTGTTTGATTACATCAATGCAACTAAAGATTACCGTGCTAGTGAACCACAACCTTTTCAGATTTTTAGTTTATAATTCGTAGTTATGTCTATCAAAAACAAGAGATGGTTTGATCGCTTGCTCAGCAAATATTTTTGTATTTTTTTCTAGTATTATGTTTGAGCTACTTTTTCAGATTGGCTTCATTTTCATTTTAGTTTCATTTAGGTATCCTGCGGCCTGGTTCTTGGCCCATCCCCCTCTGTGGGTGAGCGCCATCCATAAGAGGTCAGTCATCATCATCATCATCATCATCATCATCATCATCATCCATCATCATCATCATCATCATCATCATCATCATCATCCCTGGACTTTCGCATTCATCATCTCCTGTAAATAAAGGCATCTCACAGTAACAATATGAATGATCTTCCTGACGATCTTAGCTCTTTTGACTGCGGTCACTGTGTTCTATACGCTGATGACAGAACAATAAGAACAATGGTAAAAAAATTGACGATAAATACATCGATGATAAAAACATTGATGCTCTTGTTTCAAAGTTATACCTTGCATTAAGTGCCCTTATAAATTGGTGCAGCAGTAATCGTTTAGTTATCAACCCCACAAAAACTAAATTTAGGGTGTTTAAAAGTGCTCAGAGGTCATTATCTACTATTCTCCTAATACAACTTGGTATTCATTCCATTTCTGCTTGTTCTGATGTCGTCTTTCTTGGCATGCATTTTGACCCATGCCTTACCTTTCGCAGTCACTCTAACCATCTTAAGCAGAAGACGCGTTTGGTATCCGCGCAATAGTCAAAGCTCGCCCTTTCTTTTCCCGTGAAGCTCTACGGGCGCTGTACTTTGCGTTCAATCATAGTGATAATACTTACGATGTAGTCTCATGTGGCAACACTTATGCTTGTCATTTATCATCAATACAGTAAATTCAAAATCAGTCAATCCGCATTGTCACTTCTAGTTCTTTGCGATCGAACACCTACACATTACTACGCTCTTACAATATCTTGGCAGTATTTTTTTGTTCTGGTTAAATCTTGTGACCTTATTCCACAAACTTCTGTATAATCAACTCGCATTCCCATTTATTACATCTCATCTTTTGCAGAATATTAATGTGACCAGGTTTGCGGCTGATAAAAACTTCCTGTTACCCCCCGCTCATACTAATTATGGGCAAAAACTTCCGCTTTCAGTGCGATATCCTTTTGGAATGCGTTACCTTGTAGCATTAAGCGCTGCACTTCAATTCCTTTGTTCCAAACGTCCGTCAAAAATCATTTTCTCGAATAACCTTACTTGTGATCGTTTACCTGTTTGACTCGTTTGTTCTTCGTTTTTTTATACCATGTTGCGTGTTTTGGCTTGATTTGTGATATAAAATACATTTTGATGTCCGTATATTGTAAGAATTTTCGGTTGCTCTGTATAAATTTTACCGTCGATTTGTATCGACAAACCAAGAATTCCACTAAAGTCTCTGGCTCTGGGACCCTCATCTATATATCTTAGACTTTGTACCTTGTTTTTGGAAATAATGAAACTTGAAACTTGAAACTTGTAACCGTTAGTCTTCACAGTTGCACCTTGCCGAACGAACGGTTGATCCACTCAAATACTCCAATCGGATGAACTCTTTGTTCCCAGTTCAAACATTGTTTTTTGTTTATTTTCTGCCGGGCCTAATATTTTTTCACCTGTTTTTCTGCGCAGTGGGCCACAAATTCTGCAGAAGAGAACACGCGAAAAAGTAATTAGCCACCTATGTGTAACTGCTTTCACAGTCACGGCAACAACGAAAGACAAAAGGAAGACATCTAAAACTTTTATTTTTCTATATACACATGAAGTTCCCCTTTCTTTCAAGTGAATTCATGATAAAGTGTACAATTCTAGTCTCGTTGCCAAATCTTGTTCACTCCTTGGGGAGCTCCTCCGACGGAAGCGATAGATGACAGGCATTGAAGACGCCAGCGCACGCAGCCTTCTGCCTGTTGTGTTCCCACGGCTTCACGTACAATATCATAGTAGAAATAGTTGGAACACGTCACAGAAGATGAACATGCACGCATATAACACGTACGTTCAACTTAATATGATAACAAGCGTTTAAATATGACACACAAATACATTTACCTTCACATCTCACACAGTCCTTCTCACACAGTCCTTCTGCTGTGACGAAAGAGATGAATGACGGGCATCGCAGACGCCAGCGCACAGCCTTCAGCACGGTGTGTGCCCACGGCTGTACAATAAGTGTGTAAAACAGCGAGTCACACGTGACGGAGGATGAATACAAATGCATATGAGAAATACGTGCAAGGTGAAATGAAAACATATGTGAGATATTACATGCTAATAATTTCACGGTGATGTCACACATTGTCAAGACTCATTTCGATCTCCGTAGCGCAACAGTTTGAGCGGCGGCCGCAGTCACAACTCCGCAAACTACCGTGCCGCTAAACAGTCGGCGAGTCCAAAGCGAGCGACGTCGTGCAGCTCAAGCAAGCGAACGCGACGCCAAAGAGGGCAGTGCAAGCAGAGTGTCGGCCGCCAGCGAACTTCGAACAGGAGAGCGAACGTATGCTTGGCCGCCGCCACGAACAGCGCCGAGCTGGTTTGGACCTAGCCCTGAAGAAAGTGATGGTAATGTGGCCCTTTTCCACAAACTCGAGTGCGTGCAGCGCGCAAACGCGAGTCCGCCGCCGCAGCCAACGGACTGCGCCGAGCTGCTTGCGACCGACGGACGGGGAAGCCAACTGTAATGGCGACGAATTTTCAGTGAGTTCCGACGCTAGCGAAAGCCCCGCTAGCCCGTGCTGGTGCACTTACAGCACGCGACATACTGCAACCAAGCTCTTTACGACAACCCGCAACTTGTTTTCGACGATTCCCAACACAGTGACAAGGTCTCAGCCCAATATTGTCCGCACGCAGCTCATCGCGGCGGCGAAGACAGGTGGGCACTCGATGAGCGAGCGTACGGGAGGCCGATGGCCATGGCGGCCAATTGCGAGGCGGTCGCAAAGCACAGGCGAACTGCAGACGCCGAAGCTGACCTTCGCGATGCATTTCGTGCAAGCGATATACAACACGACCGAGCCCGTTGTCGGCAAGCGCGATCCGCATCACACACGCGACAAGTAGAGTAGAATAAAGAATGATAACCTACTTGCCTTAGAATCCAGCGCTGTTTTCTGCCCCGAATTGGACTCAAGTGTATATCCGATAGGCCTGGTCTTCTCGGCCGCCATATTGGCCTTCCCAACTGTTGCTGTCGTGTGTTGGTCGTGACTATCTTGAAGCCAGAGATATACTGTGCGGCGTAATCACCTGTCGAGGCTTGCTCCAGGCTTCATGGATGCAGCGAAACGCTATAGCAGCAACGCACGCTCATCCAGGTAGTACAGACAAGCACCACGTCTTAATTCTTAGATCGTCGAATCCAGGTGGCCGTGGTCGAGCACCCTGAGCGCGACGCTACCCAACCGCCGCCGGCGAAATACGGGGAAAGAATGAGCGAACAGACAAGGAGAAGGACTTTTGTTCTGTGGAGAAGGAGAGTTGGTCACCTTGGCAACGCTTTTCGCGCTGCCTGCAATGCCCGGGCGGTTCATTTTTAGTGGAGAGCAAGTGGTTTCGACACCGCACGCTTCCCTCTGTGGTTGCTCCTCAATGGTCTATCCGTTCATCGCGCGCGCCTATTGGTCTCCGTTACTTCTTTTTCGGGTAATTTTGCCTTAAAGTGCAGTACATGGTGTGTAGTCCCAATCAATGGGCAAGTATTGCCTTCAAGCTGCTGCTACAGCAGAGGTCGAAGTCTTGCAGTTTCGTGTGTGCATTTGAGCGGGCGTTCTCGCTTGTGATTCTTTCTAAAAAGTTTTCATACCTAGATGATCATATGAGAATGAGCATGTAGACCTGAAAACTCATCTGATCTGGTGAATATATGATCCGATTTCGGTGAGTATGTTGGTAGCGACCGCACTTACCACGGCAAAGTTACATCAAGTAGCTAACCAGTCAAAAAATCCACCAGGCCAAGTCTGGTTTTTTTTTTCGTTCGCACTAGAGCGGAAATTCCGACACGCTGTCTGCCGTATACGGCCGGCCTGGTGTATACAGCCATATTCTGGTGTGATATGGACTGGTGTGTTTTTTGGCAAAAACCGGCCAGTTGTGTTTTGGTGAAACCCGGACAGGTGTGGTTTAGTAAGAACCGGGCTGGTGTCTATTCACACAAAGGGTCCTCGTGTATTCCTTCTTTTTACGCATTTGAATGCATTATGGATGAAGCATGCACTTTTACGTGTCCATGGGCAAAAAAGCAGGCTTGCACAATAGTGTTAAACTGAAAGTGACCTCTCTATTTATTTTTTTATTATCCCGGCTCAGCTTGATATTTAAGTTGACCTGCGTTGCCTCCTCTTCCACAAGGCTTGAGTCAGCACTGCAGGGCATGGAAAAGATGAAGAATTCATTACAACGTTGCCCAATTCGATAAATGAAGGTAAATGTGTTTGTTGAAGATTTGTGCTCTCGTTTCTAGAAAAAATAATCAATGTGCCAATACTCAAACTTTCAAATGTTTTTCGAATAGCACTTGTCAGTCGACTATTTTTCACTGAAAGTTTTACTACTAGAACTTCCCGAAGACAACAGTCAATGCCCAATTGACTGCGGCCCCTTCAAATTGTTTATTTGCTTTACTCAATAAACTAGTCACTTTGCGGCAAAGCTGCCTTTCAAGCTGTAGTAGCAATTGCATTCATTCGAGAAAGTGCTGGTTCCAACATGTAGATGCACAGTGCCGTTACAGTCACCTCTTCAATTTTTTATTATGTTTCACCGCTTTGTTAGCTACGCTGGGGGCGTAGTCAGAGTGACTCACGAAAGCGCTGGTTAGACCCTCCATGGCAAGGGTGGGGAAGGAATATGTACTGTTTCAGGCCAAAAGGTCCAAAAAATTCCACGAACCTTTTCGCTGTCTGAAATTTAAGGTGTTTTTATAGAAAGGCATCTGCAGGGCCGATCAGCAACTACAAAGTCAAAAGGAGCACGGCATTGTTCGCCAAATTAGAAGGGCCTCCACAAAACTTGCCGTGGGGGGAGGGGAGAGGGCAAGAACCTTAAACGTTGAAACTGCTGCCGACGCCACATTGGTTGCACCAAATATGATATATAGGCACAATCGGGTCTGAAATGTCTCGTCTTTAATTAAACAAGCGAGCACCTTTCCTCCAGATCTTAACCGACCTAGCCAAAAAAAAAAGTGCCATATTCCAATACCATGATAATGTTTCAGACATCTTTTGCAACTTTTCTTTTGTACCTTCACTTTGAACTATTAAAATAGTTCAACAAATGGTCAAAAATATTTGATTCCCACTTTCAGTAAAATATAGAAATTCGTTACGCCTACAAACTTTTGCTATTCGCATAGCTCTAAAAATAAAGAAAACAAACTCATTTCTGTCTTTAAAAATGCATACGCACCATGTATTTAGGAATTAGGAATGCTGCTTCACGTGTTGTATGTAGAAGTACGGTGTCGTTGTGGCAGCCTTTGGTCTTTTCATCAGTGCTCCCTTTAAGCACTGTTGACATCGCCAGAGGTGATGTCGTCCACGTACATTGCGGCTCAATCATCGCCACACTAAGGTGGCCACTACAACCACACGCTTGTCGCCCTCATAACCTTGTTGATCTTGTCGAACTGGTATATTATGCAGAAGAACAGCCTCTCAGAAACAGTTGGCATGCAAGCGATCGTTCAAACGCACAAGATTTTTTGTGAAAGCCATTGAAAGAAAACACGACAGTGTTGCTAACAGAACCGTAAAAGTGAATGTTCCACCGCTAAGAAAAGATAAACGTGAATCTTTTGGGCCCATCAACTTTGCTATTTCAACTGAAAAAAAAACGAAACTCTAAACCATAAATTTTGGAGTAACAAGCATAAAACCCTATCAATATGCTATTAGGTTGTCACTTTTTTGTATATTCAGTTTTGGTTTCAAAGAACACCAAGGCTAGTTAAATTTTTTTACTATAGCGCTGAGGATTTCCACTATTTCTTTTTTTTCTGAGCTCAGAAAAATTTCTCCTAGTAATAGAATAAGTCGGCAAGATCACGCTGGTGCAACTCAAATGACGCATCAGCGGAAAAGCAATAATGACGTACGTGTCCGGCTTTTTACCTACAGCTTCAGCCTTGCGCCTATTTTTCATTTAAAAAGACAAACAATGAATTATTTCAAGCTGTCAGGTTATTTCTTTCGCAATGCGACATCCAGAAAAAAACTTCGAATAAAGAGTTAGTACACTCGAGATTCTAACTTGCGACATGCGGAGTCACGTGTTTGGAGGCAGCGCGCCAAGAAACTGAGCTATCGCAGCGAGTTCATGAAGGCAGTGCATTAACAGCACATGTACTATTGTACGGTTAAACACAGATATTTTACTGGTATAGATGTGTGCGTGGTGTGTGTGTGTGTGTGTGTGTGTGTGTGTGTGTGTGTGTTTACTTGAGCGTACCCAGGCGTTATATCGTGTTGCCTCAGTACCGTGCACCTGTTGAAATGGTGAGCCCGTGGAGGCCAGTTACAATAGTCGGAGCGTAGCGATTGATCAAAATTTTTCTGCACTTTGTGTGGAGGCAGAAAAAGGATCGTCTGCTACCCTAGATGCCGCTTAGGTAAGTTTTATTTTGAAGTAACCATTGTCGTATGGCAATGTCGATTCTCACATGCGGCTGCTACGCTCGCGCTCATGTGAGGCAACTACTTTTTTTCGCGGTAACTGACAGCTTTCCTCAGCGGAGCGATGCAGTCAGCTGTTTCACATCTATGCACCGGCTGGGCGCCCAGCGCAAGGAGCGATGGTGGGGGGTTGTAATAGAGCAATGATGGAAATTCTAGTGTAATAGTGGGAATTCTTCAGCTCATAAATGAAACTTTCAATGAAATTTTATTTAATGAAATAATGAAGTAATTATTGCTCAGTTGTGAAAGCTGAAACAAGAGGAATTTTCGGTGTGGAATGTTTCTGTTAAAACTACTGCGTACATTTAATGTAGAACAGGCTACCCTATTAAGAAACACGTTTACACAATAATAAATACGATGTGCTGTAATATTATCTTTTTCATTCGGTGTTGCTAGTAATTCAAAATGCTTAGCGTCTGAAAAGACAGTGATAGAGTAAATTGTGTGGTTATGACTAATACTCTATTTTTGCCAGAACCTATGATACTGCCTTCTCCAGACTTCTCTGGTATTACAGCTTCTGTTATCTCTTTATGATCGCACCAATTCGCTGTCCTCATTTTCAGTTTCACATGTGCTGTCATGCTGTGAGTACAATTGAAACCCAATTAGCATGAGAGCTATTTTGAATCTAAAAGTGGCATGCAACGAAGTGGACTATTAGAAGACCCTAGGTCGTTCCCCTTGCTAGATTGGTTAGTTGAAGAAATTTAGATTATATTGCTTGCTGTCCAGAATTGCTGTGCGGTCAGTAGCACGAAGTTTGAATAGTATGTACTTTTTATTAACATGCTATACTGGTTGTCACTTGGAAGGAGAAAAAAAACCAATCAAATATGGTTAACTTGTTAGAGCATGTGTCATGCCAGCTTCATTGTGTACTGCTGTCTTCATACCGAAAACATTCTACAGCTTCCGTTGTCGAGGGTTTTAGCAATAATAGGTGACGGCTAACTTTGTCATGGCCTTCTCAAGCCGTTTGTTGGTTTGTGTACAAATCCGCTTATGGCCTTGCACTTCATGGTCTAGCATTTGAATGAATGAATTATTAATAATATCTTACTACTGCCCTGTTTCTCTGTTTTCTATGCAGGCAAAGTTCAAATGTGCAGGCTGAGGACACTACGGGGCTAGAAGGTGAACCAAGTCTATGGAATGATTTTTTTAACAGCCAGCAAAGTTTACGGTGATTCGAAAAGTAGTCAAAACGCACCTGAAGATGCTCAAGTCATCAATGGAGATGCTGATTTTACATTTATTATTGAGAAATTCAGCAGTAAGGCTTTCTGACCTCTCTGTAAGCACATTGAAAGCTATGTGCTACTTCTTGGTTTGTTTTAACAACTAGACTGCACTGGACACAGGTGGATGGCTTACTGACGATGCATAACGCCATATCTTGAAATACGTTTTTTGTGTGTCAATTGAAAGGGGTACAAACACCAAGTCTAAAAGCTCACTTAATTCTGCCACAAATATATCTATTATAAGAAGATAATTAAGAGCTAGTGTAAACTTCAGAAAGGCACAGAATATAAATTTATCTTGGTGCACGTTGTAATGTTCACCCGATAGTGTGGTTTTGGTGGGCCATGCACCAACATGAACAGTGTTGATAATGTCAGGGACAAAACAAACAAAATAGCTGTTTGTACGTCACCAACACAGCCAACCACGAAAATGTGTCAATATTTTGAGCTTGGGTGAGGATGGGATCAAAAGCTTGTATCATGTCGTGGTGTCAGGGTATAGTAAGAGCCGATACCAAGGTGTACTTAATTTCTCATGGTGCACTTATATTTACTTGTGCACTATCAGGGCCCTTGGAGGCTTTGCCTTGCATTTTATGCTAAAATTAGCTGGTAAGTTTTGCATCATTACCTTTAGATAGAGATTTAACAAAATCTAACCATTTAAATTGTGCTTTTAAAATATTGGCAAGCCTTGAAGCTCCGTATAAGTGAATGAAATATAAAAATAGTCTATTTGTGGTCTGCATCACCGGTCAATATTGTAGTCAGTAGGACCTTGTGCTCATGACAGTAGAGGCTTCACCTGCAGAAAGAATATAATACAATTTTACAAGAATTGTGTGGCTCTTCGCATTGTAGAATGTGGTGCTCTGAAGAACATCATATAAATTACTGTCATTGGACTAAGGATGCCTTTTCAAATTTTCCCTCACGCATATAACTGATGTGTCTTTGAAGCGCACCAGAAATACAAACGAGCTCGGTGCTCATTACCGCTTTAAATCTAGTTTGGTATTTTTGTTATGTGAAAGCTACAAAGCAATACAATGCAGAATTTAGGTGCTCCCATATTCAAGTACCTAATTTGCAGAGTGTTTTGCTGAAATTTTAAAATATTTTATTACTATTAGTATGTGTTGGGCAAGTATTACACGATAGATTATGTAGTATCATGTACATATCAACTGCCGTAGAAAAGCTTTTTGTTGGTGTATTACCCTATATATTCTGAAACAAAGTAAACACACTACTGCATGGCTTCGATGTTTGTGCCTTTTTTCCGTCATCAGTTCCACAATGTGTACAAACTACTTGTTCCCCGTAAACTGTAGGACTATCTTGTGTTCATTGATGATCTGCAAATCACCTGGCCAGGCTGGTTGTGTTGTGCCTTATGAAGATGTGGTTTGTGCAAACGAATATGATATACC